GTCAGGGACGGACAAAGTAATTTTAATAAAATAAGAAGCAAACTGGTCATAGAAACACAAACAAAAAAACCTTTCTTAGGTTCCCCCCAAAAACTTGACTAATTTCTCTAGCTCGCTGACCTTTTATTTATTTATTTATTTATTTATTCCTTCCATTTTTGAGTACATTTGCACATCCTGGTTCTAGCTTGAAAGGAAAGAGGAAAGGCAGAAACTCTTTCAGAAAGGCTTGTGAAACTTTCAACTCAATTTTGGAAGAACCAAGAGCTTCAAATAGTTGCCACACAGAAATGGCAGAATTTAGCATCACCGATGATCCTTTCTCAATGCTTAGCAGTTTCAGATAAAAATGGATGGGTTCTTAAAAGTAGTGTCCACAAGAATAATATTCAAGTTTTTCCATCCAGTTGATCATATTGGAAGTATCTTCAATTTACAAGTTTTGCTTGCACTGCACAAAATGCTTTTGCGGCCTGATCCAACTTTCATTGTAGTCAGTAGAACAACTTTTATTGACTTCACTGAGAGGTGGATCGGGTCCCTGGAGGATGAACAAAATGTTAGTTTCATTCTCCAGTGAGTTAAAGGTCTCACCATCCATGCTAAACAAGAATGTAATTATTTAAACACATGATATGTAATAAAAACTAAATCTATGTGATCTGATCCAGATCTCCTGAGGTAAGGAATAAATCTTGAATTTAAAACACTATGGTCTATTCAAGTGAGATTATGACTGTCATTGATCCTCATTAACTGAGCTATTGAAATACTGTCACATCTAGGGTATGAAAATTTAATTCCATTTTTCATATTCATACTCACTAACAATAAGGCTGACTCACTTTTGTAAGATCCTTAAATGATGGTTTGCACTGAATACTGAAATACTGTATTCTGTTGATATTAGGATAATATTGAGTTGATAAGAATGAATTTGATGTTGACATAATTGGCACATTGAGTTTTACAAAACAGCTGCTGTAAAGCCAGTGAGATTAAAAAATAATAACTTTTTAAAATATCCAGTGCCTGACATTATAGCATATTAAAAAAGAGGTAAATGTCACCCAACTGCTTTCTCTGAACAACAGCATTAGTACTTGGGAAAATAAAATACAAATTTGAAAAGGAAATGGAATTTTAAGAGCAAGAGGAAGCTTTTAAGAACAAGAGCTTTGTTAATAATCAGTTTATATCCCACATAAGGTCATTTTGCATGGGCGCTCAGTGGGAGTTAGGTGCCTAGGCATTTTTGAAAAGCTCACTAGGTGCCTATCTGCATCTTTTGGTGCCTAAACATCTTGAAAAATCTGACCCTTAGGTTCCTAAGTCTCACTGAAAGGCAATAGGACGTAGACTCCTAAGTGCCCGAGTCCCTTTTGAAAATGGGACTCAGGCTCCTGAATCAGACACTTTTGATAACCCCCAAAACATTTACAGTAGCTTAAAAAAACATTGAATTTTTCCCCTGTTTAATTTTCATCATCATTCTGCATTAGGCTTCATGCAGTGCTTCAGTGTTTATGAAGTATAAATTAGAAGGATAAAAGTAATAAATATAAATATTGTACATTAGAAGACTTAGTAGTGAAAAATATGGCCATTTTCAATTGCATTGGGTTGAAATGTGATGCCAAACAATACTCAAGCCAATACTGAGTCTCTCTAGACTTTATGGAAGATGGAGAAAAGCTCCCATCAGTGCCCAGTGGATAGAAACTATATGAACAGCATGGGCGAATTGGCTTAGAGTTTCTGAGTCTCATCTGCACAGGCAAAAGATTTCATTAAATGTGATAGCTTCACTGCCTTCAGGCACAATTTCACCGCTCAGAAACCATGTTACAATGTCAAAGTGAAATAAAACAATGTCATTTCAAGTTAAATGGCCTTTCAAAAGGAAATTAAATAGAAAAAGTACATTAGAATATGGATATGGCTGTGACTTAAATACACAAAACTAGGAAGATCCTAGGATAAAGATTCCGTAGCATCTTTAACTTAATTTGGTGAGGCCTAAGAACTATAAAACACGATATTTTATTAGGGTCTGAGGCAACTCCCATTTAAGCCGATAGGAGTCTTTGAACTGACTTTATTTAGAGATGGAGAAATCCATTAGTATAAGTGAGCACATAATTTATATTCCTTGGCTTCATTTTAAAATTGATTTACACACCCACTGCCCAACCTTCTAATAGATTAGATATTAAAATACTGATATCTCACCCTTCTGCTGCCAACTGATTGATACCAGACTAAGGATGAGCAACTCTGCCTCTGTGAAGATTGAAATAGAAGGGCCAGTTCTACAACTGGTGTAAAAAGATACAGCTCTGTCGGCTTCAGATGCGCCAGGCTGCTTCACATAAGCTGAGATCTGTCTGTACAATTTTATATAACAAGGAGCGTTACAGTAATGCACTTAGAAATGTGAATTGTTACTAACTTGGATTGAATTAGGTAAAGTGAAACAAATATGCACATACACTTAGGGTGACAATGATTCTGATATGTAAGGAGACTAAGAATGCAAGAATGGATGTGAGTGCTTTTGTAACTGACATTAGTACATGGAAATCATGACACGTTTCTATTTTATTTTATACCTGCCAGGGTTTGGAGAAACAGGAGATGGCTGAATGCTGGTGTTTCTGTTTTAACCTTTTGCTTCAGTTAGGCAGCTGAATGTGTTTTTATTTGGAATGGACTGTGTTTGTTTGTTTTTTAAATGTCAAGTAGAGCCTGAGCAAAGTCCTTCTTATTTTTGTAAATGTTAAAAAGGATACATAATAAAATGGAGTCGTATATACTATGGAGTTTTATTTCTACCAACAGAAAAAAAACTGTAGGGTTGTGTCCATTCTAATGCAGTGCAGATAGCATTCGTTAGGTTGATAGAAAGAGTAGAATGCAATGTCCAAGGAGAGAGAATCTCTGTTATAAGGATGTAGACTAAATAGAAAACATGATGGTGATATCTGGTTTTATCAGCATAAGCTTGTGGCTTGGGCCTATCTCTAGTTCTGATAGTAACACCTGCTACTTCAAAATGTATCTCTGAACTTGAACAATAATGATATCTCCTAATCACTACAGAAACAAAGAGTTGATACCCTAGTTCAGTATTATTGTATAGCATGCATAAGTAGTTACAGTCCTGGGCTGAAATCCTAGAGCCATTGAATTCAATGGCAAAACTCCCTTGGCCTTTAATGGGGCCAGGACTTTATGCTTGGAGCTTTAAACTTCCACGTGCACTCTAGGGGATTTTCTGCCCTACAGGGTGTACTCCACTGAATAACACAAACTTCTTGAAGAAAAGATAATTGCTTCCTACTGGACAGAAGGACTGTTATGACTGTGCTGTCAAGGTAAGTGCCCATTACTGCACAATGTAAATGAACACCATACTTTCCAGCCCAGAGGTGGGAGCAATCTTCAAAGAAAAAATTTTCACCGATGAGTCCAGAGTGCATACTGGCAGGCTTGACAGCTATTAAGCAACAGCCAGAATAAAATGGCATAAGGTCACTTTCATTAGTCAGAATTCTGGATTGTGCTGGTACATACAAGCACTAATGAAAGCTAGTACAAGAGTGTAGAAATCACTACTTTTGGCATCTAATGTTAATGAGGTCTTTAAAAATCTGAGCAACAGACAGGCACAGATTTTAGCTAAAAGACTGACCAAATAGAAATCTCTTTAGTATTGGATTGTGGTTCCACACTTGCAAGGGAAGAAAACTCCATTTAGGGGATATGAACCTCTTTTGGTTGTCCCAGAGGCAGAAAATACATCAGTATGGAATAACTATTTAGCAGCTCAGGGGTGGACTTCACTGCCCTTACTTGCATTGTCAAGTGCCTTACTCTGCAAATAGTCCCATGGACACAAATGGAATACTTGCAGAGTAAGGTGCTACTACTGAATATGAGAAGGGATATCTAGCCTTTGGGAGAAGGAAAGAGCCCACCAGATGGTGAACCCAGATGTGGATCAGGAGACCTGGTTTCTTTACCCAGCTCTACAATTGGCACATTACATGAACGGTGGGCAAGTCACTGTCTGTGTCTAGGATTCTACATCTGTCAAATGGAAATAATAATCTTTACCCATCTTTGGAAAGCATTCTGAATTTCACAGATAACCGAGAAAGGGGTGCACATTCTGCTCCTAAGTATCTGTATTAATAACTACTATTATTTAGCAGATTTTGCCACCTTCCATACACTTACTAAGTACAAATTTTTCAATGAAAGAGACATGACTTCTCATGCAGTGAAGTACTACTTAATTTGAACAAAAGGAGGCACAGTCTGGCTTTCAATAAATAGGGAGGTGACGCATATTGGTTTTCAGACATGAATGTCTGTGATAAGTTTTGCATCTTTTTGGTAATGTAGATTCTCATATTGACAGTGGTTCACTAATTCCGGAGGAAATACTTTGGTGGCATTGATGCCAGCTCCTGCCATTCCAACCCCAATCAGGGGCTGGATAAATAGCCTAGGTTTACCAAATCACTGATTGCACCTGCCAACCTCATTAGGCAGGAACTATAAGGCTGGGAGGAAGTAAGTGAAAAGTGGGGTGGAGACCAGGAGGGAAGGGAGGGAGGCTCAGGGAGAGGTAGGAGCCTGCTACTCTGTTGCTGAGCAGGCCTGTGTTAGGCCAAGCCATGGTAAATAGTCTGTATATAGTACGCAACTGGTGGTGGGAAATGGACATAAATAAAGAGCATGGGAGCTGCACCAGCTTGGAGTATCCCTGAGTCTGTGAGGAGCAGGGCCAAGGGGATGGATACGCAGGAGCACAATGGGCACCCTGTTACAGGGAGGCACTATTAGTTATCTCCATAGGCATCAGAGTAACAAGTCCTGCCTTATACTTTCCAACTTCAGTTTTTGGTGACTCGTGCTCCTGTACTTGTGCATGTACACATCTGCAGATGTATATTTGTTCTGGGTGGCACAGGAAGACAAGACACCAGGAACATGGTTTAAATAGGCTGCAGCTTTATTAAGAAACACATCTGTGAATTATCCAGGAATAACCCATCCAGTGCAAGTTATCCCTTCTTCCATAATTTCTATCTCCTGCTAACAGCCCCCCAACTCTTAAGTTGTTCCCAGCACTCTTGCTGGAACCCCATCAGCCTCCCCTCACCTGAGGATTAAGGGAGCGGGGACAGGGACAGGGGTTGTCTTCTCATTGTACCAGACATTAAGAGTTCCAACTCCATTCTCCAGCTTTTTTAGGAGATGTCTTCTCCTAATCCACCTCCAGTTCTGGTTTACCAGGGAACCAGACCCCATATTGAACAAGTATGTGAACTAGGCACCTACCAAATTGTGACAAAATGAATTTTACTGTGTCCCTGGGCTGCTGAGTGGAAGTTGAGAAACCCCCACGCTGGCCCCAGGCCAATCTGGCAGTGAAGGAAAAATTCCTACCAAGCTCTAAAAAGTAACTAGCATGATGCCCACAGCAAGGCCCCAAAACCCAGTCCTGTTCTAATTTCAAGGGGAAGGGAGAGGGAGGTTTCTTCCCAGTGCACCCTTTGGTAGCCAATAAGGTTATGCTGCAACCTTATGTCCAACCAATCAGCCACCTAGCTTCTCTCCCCTAAATCCATGGGGAAGAGAGGGGTGGGAGGGTGTAATCCTTAAAAGGGCCAAGGGTTTCTTTCCCTTGCTGGACCAGACAAAACCTCCTCACCTCTGAGGCTGTTAGGAGGTTATTTTGAGAGAAGTAAGTGCACCTTCATCTCCTGTACTACTCCCTTCTGTTCTCCTGATCTTGTAACATAGAAAGCCTCCAGTAAGAGATAAATGTTGTGGTTGAAGATCCAGCATCAAAAGTCAATACCAGGAGTAAGTACTGGAGAAGAAAAAGTGGAAACAATAGATGCCACGGTCCCAAAGCCACATACATTCTGAAATTCCACGGTCTCAGAATTTGCCATGGAATCCACCCTTTGCAGCAGAATTGTGCTCCAGAATTAGGCTTTCACTTTTAAAGATGTACCTTTCTAATCTTTATGGTTTTGAAGATAACCTTCTAAAGGTGAACCCAGTATAAACCCATTCAATGTTGCTTTGAGTCTGCCAATAACCTGAAACGTTAAATAGGAGTGATGTGAACTGCCCCATTTATTTTAACTAGGGGTGCTGGATCTGAAATCCACACGTCTGTTTAAATATCAACATTACTAATTATTGCACTGCTGACCAAATTCCTCCCCAAAATCTCCAGGTCTTCCTTGCTAATTTTGCTGATGCAATTAGGTGTTGGCACTACAAAAATTTGTGGCATATTGAACACTAAAAGGATGAGGACAGAGTGAAATAAATAAAATTTAACATCAAAATAAATAACATGGGGGCTAAATTATTCATTTTACATATTCATAGATTGTAAGGCCAGAAGGGACCATTATGATCAGCTAGTCTAACCTCATATTCAATTCATTGAAAGCCTCTGCTTTTTTAAAGTTAAATGAAAGTGCACCAAGATTTGCACCAGAAAACTGAAATATTCAGGGACTTTACCACCCAATTTAAATGCACCTTGGAGTGGAATTTAAGAAGCCTTGACCCTGGATACTTCAGTAATATAAAAGAGAGAGAGAGACTCATGCTCTTAATAAATAATGCAACCATCTCAATAATACAGAATTTAATGAGAGTCCTGCTATTTCCTTGGGACCCAGCTGTGGCAGCATTGTTGTTTAATGGTATTTACAAAACAAGTATGTCTGGAATACCTTCCATAGGATGGACTAAAACTAGTTATTATGCAAGGGTTGATGATTGCCTTTAGTGTATATTATTGATTCTGGAACCATTTGTCTTCCTTTTCTTCATGTACAAGATTAGTTGTTGACAAGAAGAAATAAATTAAATATAGCAGACATGTATTTTCACCAAAGATTTTCTATCTGAAGTTTATTTTCTTCAATTCCGAATGATACTTTGGTGATCATCTTTTCCAGGAATCATAAGACCATATTGAGTAAGGCAAAGCTCTAACAGCAATAATCATGGTTTTAGCAGAATTGTACTTGCATACTTGCTACCAAGTATACAAGGGATGGTATGTTTCTTCTTAGAATTTTGACAGGAGGCTAAAAATGTAGGGCCAAGCCCTCCTCTAGTGTAAATCAACATAGCAACTTTGAAGCTGCTGCAGTTGATTTACACCAACTGAGGAGCTGTCCTGTTTTTCTCTAGTTTGTTCCCTCCCCACCCAAGTTGAGGTGGATTATTCTTGAAAACCCATCCTACCTTCCTGTGCAGTTTTGATACTTAAAAGTCAGTAAGGCGCAAATCCGGTGCCCACAGCATAGCAACACCTGAAAAACAGTGGCACTGTGATGTTGGCACAACAGAGAGGGGAGGATTCCATTCCATCACCCTGCATCGGTCCCCCACCCAATGCCCATTTAGCTGGATTGTGTACAGGGGGGAAAAACGGAAGCCCTAAAACCTCAGAGGAGAAAAGGTTCTGGAAACTCAAGAGATTCTTCAGTACAAATATACCAATTAGAACTCCTCAAATAGACAAAAACGTATTAATATTGGCTATGTATCTTTTACTACTATAACTGGTTTTGATTTAAGCAGAGCTTGTAAACGCCATGTGTTACAATGGAGAAAGTAGTCTATCTTCGCTGGCGCCTCTGCCTAGCCTTCTGCCTGCGCCGTCGGATTGACAGACTAATGGGCTGCTTTCCAAATTTCTCCATGATTTCTTTGATTCGTGTGAGGTTGGTTTTGCTGATTGTGAAGTCACACTGAGTGGCTCCCATGTCATAACCTACTGCACAGTTCTTGGTGGAAGAGGTATAGCCCTCTGCTTTTGCGGTGACCACATATTCTCCTGGGTTCAGGAGACGCCAGTAATCCCCATCACTCGCTGTTAAAGAAATCAGAAAAGAAGATTTTCAGACCATTGCTCTTTTGACAGAATTGTCAACACTTATCTACTATAAAGGTCTATGTTAGGTCTGTGGCCTGAAGTTATACATATAGGACTTGAGCCTCATGTCCAGTTAACCTCCCCGTGGCTGTGGCTCAGAAAGAAGTGGGGCACCAAAGGTGGCTGTATTCCTTCTTTACAACCTTCTTTCCCACCAATTTTGGGAATCACCTGAGTGGCAGTTTGGCTCCTGGCATAAGCTGAGGCAGCCTTGGGAGCTCATGCACACTCAAAAATTGCTGGAATGTAGTGGAGCTCTGGTCATGTCCTGTTCCCCAGCCACATCCCAACACTGGGGGCCATGAGAGGAGCTGTATAGGGCTAGCTACACTGCTGCTGTTTCACCCAAGGATTCCCCTACACCAAGCAGGTGGCCCGGTCTGCTAGCTGTCCTGTGCCACCAGAGCAACACAAAGCAATGGAACAGGTTCCAGGAATCTGGCCCATGGCATATGTAGCATTTGCTTGATAATGTCCTGCTTCAATAACAGTGTGTTTTAAGCAAAACACCGTTCCTTCTTTGGAGCCTTTTTAATGACCTTTAACTGGAAAAAAAATTAAGAAGTGCTTATTCTGAGTTAAGTCACAATTTGGAAAAGTAACATAGGCCTGGCTGCTCCCATGTGTGACTATGTAGCCCTCACCTTGGAAATATAAATGAAGCTGGCAATGAAAACAAAATACCATCGTGAAAATCCATTACAGTTTTCATTTCCCATCCTAATTTTCTGTAACTGTAAATAAAAAATAGTACTGATTTCCCAAACAGATTCTCTGGACAGATGAGATATACACAGGGCTGAGAGAAGGGTTTAAAATAACCCGTTTCCCAACACCATCAGCCAAACTAAGTTTGATCTTAACAGTTTGATATTTTGTTGAATTAAAATACACCCACAATAATTCCTTGATATGCCACTTTTGCAACTTGGGCGTCCTTTTCCTGCTGCCCTTAGCGTACAGCGATCATGTTTTTTCTGTATAATATCAATTCATCGACCGAGAGCAATTTCATATGTAATTTAGGCCATGATTTTCAGCATAGTACTTAACCACATTCCTAACTTTAAATACATGAGGAGTCCCATTGTAATCCATTGAACTACTTGCGCGGATAAAGCAAAGCGCATGTTTCGGTACCTCATTGAATCAGGGCCTTAATGATTTTCCTTACAGAAGATATTCATGGCTTAATGTTTACCCAATAATTTGCACATTCTTTGGTCTTCTAGTGATGTTATTTTAAGCAGCAAATATGTTTAGTATAATGGATTGGAAGAGGGGATGAAACTTAGCTTCTTGCTATAAAACCGTATTTGTTTTACAGTTTACCCTAGTAAAGCCTGCTGAGTTGTAGGAGTGCATTGTAAAGGGTTCCTGGGATGTAATACTATATATAAAGAAACGTGACATCTCCCACAGGAAGAGTTATTGTAATGTTCATGTGAAATGGCATTACTATTATTGGCCCTGCCCCTGGGTGACTTACAAAACAATGTTGCTAAAATGAAAGACAACTAAGATGAAAAGGTTGTATGCTGGGAATAAGAAGACAGACTGTGTTAGAGCTGGGCTATATACTTTACTCCTTGCATCTGTGTAAAGGTATAACATTGTATATTGGGGGCTAGATAAGCTAGGCATCATGCTTTGACATAGCAGGAATCAGCAAAGAAAACAACAACAACAATGCTAATCATCTCCTAGCATTATTGTGAAAGAGTACATAACTGACACACCTGGTCAAGTTACTTCTCGAATAGTAAAGACTGCTCATTTTTCTACCAACCAGTTTGACAGTGTTTTAAAAGAGGAGATGGGCCATCTTCTCTGCTGATATCTGGCTACTGTGCACTTCTTGGGGCGAGTCAGGTGGGGAGGGATTATGATGGAGCTCTGCTTCACTGTGCCTGTCACGTCCTGTTGTCGTGTCCACCACAGGACCTTAGAGCTGGTTTGGGGTTGGCCCTGAGAATCCACCTTGGTTGCACATGCACAAGAGTAACTGGGCATATTTTCTCCCAGTGGGTGGGGAATAGTGTAGCCTGACACTGCCCCACTCCTATTATGCTGGCCAGCATCGCTATGCTGGTGCAGAAGTGTGTTGTACTTTACTGTGGCAGATTAGACACTGGGCCAATGGAGCCCATGCCAGGGTCCCTGGCCAATTGGGGGGCCCTGGAAAAAAGGGAAGGGGTGGGGAGGGACCCCCACTTGCTCTGGCCCAAGGCCCACATAACTGTAATCCGCCTCTGGTACTTTGGCCAGCAGCAAATTATTTACTTCTCTGGAGCAAGAGGAAACAAAGGAAATTTTGTTTCAGAGAGGCGTCTCTTGACCACAGTACTTTGTAGGATATTGCAGTGGTGGTGCAGTTTATGCATTGCACTTTGTACAAGGTTGTGCCTAACAGCACAATTACCCTTTGGTGCATCCACATATTTCTGACAAGCATTTGTCATGTATTTTAGCATAGCTTGAGAAATACTATAAAAGAAGCTACACATTCAGCCACCACCAGGAAATAATTATAGAGCTAAATACAAACTATTGGCAGGATTTACTTATTTAGTTCTTTTCTGTTTTAAAACAAGTAGAGTTCATTCCAAGAGTCTGCTCCTGTTACCCATCATTTAATCTCAGGGTACTAAGAGATTTCATTCTCTGGGCTAAATGGACTACATCAAAAATTCCTGTACAGACGGTAGAGATATGTGATCAAAAATACGGGGGGATTAGAGAATATTAAGAGGTACTTTGGTAAACATAAAGAGGTAGTGTACTCAGTTAAAATGACAAAACTACGAAAGATAATCAAATTAATATATGTAAATAGACTCCAGAAGGCACCTTGATCTTGTTAACAATGTGACAGATAACAAAATAAAAATTAGGAGGAATAAATGATAATGGGTCAGATCTTCAGCTGGTGTGAACTGGTGTAGCTTCATTAAGTCAGTGGAGTTATTCTAATTTACATCAAGGGAAGATCTATCTCAATGCTTTATTACCAACAAAGGGCCCTACTATGAAGTTAATTTGCCTGCCCAAGGAATGATGGCATACGCCCATAAATAGTTGAGTACTCGGCAGCAGCCAGCAGTATTTCAAGATAATGTATTGTTACTAGTTAATCCACTAAAATAATAAAATCTTCTGAACAATTGGAGAGAAACGTTAGATGCAAATTCTTTGTTTTGGATGTTGTAACAAACCCTGAAATTCTTATCAGATTCTCTGAAATAAAGCTTTCTATGAGAGTTTCATGCAAACTTGAGTTAATGTATGGTTTGCTTGAAAAACCATGCAAAACCTATGCACAATGGTGATAGGTGCTCTAGAGAGAGAGAGAGAGAAATATTCTGACTGAGTTTCACTTTGACATTTGGTGTTCAAAAGATGGGTGTGAAACTATATGAAACAAAACCAGAAAATTTGGCTCACCATAAACCAAAAGCTTTGAGTTTAGTAAAACACTAATTGTTTGCTGCGTGTGTGGCAAGTTGCTACAGGCTAAATGGTCTTTTTACTTGGGAAATATTCCACTTCCATTTTAATTTCAAAGAAATCACCAACCCTTCCAGAACTGATAGCAGTGTAGGTTGTGCTTGACATTGAGTCCCTGTAATGGGCTAGGATCCTATATACATCAGAGGCTCTCAAAACAGCAGTCTTTGGGCCACAGCTTGTCCATGGAGCTTTTAGGGGGGTCTGCTGAAAAGTAGCTGGACATGCAGTGCTGACTTTTCTTCCTTATTTCCTGCTGCTAAATGTTTTAATAGACAGCTAAAAATCCATGAAGTGCTTTCCCAAAGTTACTTTTCATGACAGCACTGGCTGAAATTGCCACGGGGATGTTCTCTGATTGTTTATGGAAGGAGAGAGGGTGTGGGATCGTAAATGGGAAGAGAGGTGTCCACAAGTCCATTAAAATATACCCCTGCCATCCTTACACCTCTATATGAGCTACCCAGACCTTGTATCTAGGCATGCAGAGGTAAGTGGGCATAGTGCTCTCACCTACTCCCTCCCCTCAATAGACTAGTCAATCCAGCTGAGCTGGCACAAGTGGTGTTTCAATTTGCTGTTGGTAAAGGCCTGGAACACAGGGAATGTAGAGAGGGAACTGTACCTCAGAAAGGTGCCTCTGACACGTTATGCCTCCCAGTGCTATTCTTGGGCTGGTGAATATTTTCCTCAGGACAGTGCACCTAACGCTAAGGGCTAGAGTGCACAGCCCTGGATAATGGGGATGTGTGAACCCCATCACCCAAGGAGCCAATGGAATAATAAGAGGAGCAAGGTGCTACTTGACATTAATAAGGTCATTGGAATCAGGCCCTAAATAACTTTTTTATATCTCAATAAGAGACTATCCAATGACCTCTGCAAGCTGCTCTTTGAAAAATGAAAAAAAAAGGGGTCCAAATGGGTTTGTTGATCCAACTAATGAACTTATTTCCCAGGGTCAGCTGACAGAGCACAGTTCACATGTAACCATAACACCATGTCATCACCTCTGCCCAATCAATAGCTGTATGTGCAGCAAGAACAATGTGTTCAAGCTCCTGGTCTCACAAAATCAATAATTTAAATTAGCCTATTAATATTATCAGCACCCCTTTCTACTCCCATCAGATATATTGTACCGCTAAGTGAAAGTAACAGAAGGTTCTTTCTGCCCTTGAGAAGGAAGAGGAGAAATTTCCTGGAACAAGTAAATATTAATAGAAAGCTTATTGTAGACACAATTTTTATCTGCTTAATAGGGTAGTTGACTCCATTTACATGTCAGAAAATAGCAGGTATTTTAAAAACTTAATAGCTATAATCCATTTTAAAGCAAAACTTAGAAAGGTAAAGAAAGTTGCCCAGATTCTCCTCTTGTTTAAACCAATTTTGACCCAGTGCAAATCCATTGTTTCAATGGAAATAGTCCCGATTTAAACAGGTATAAAAGAAAGAAGAATGAGGTCCCATGGAGATAATTTAATTTTTTTCTCTGCAGTTATTTATCATTTTATCTTAGTGGCTACCCCATAAAATTTCTAGTTTCAAAGACCAATGACAGCCCGTCCCCTTTATTTATTTAATGTAAGGCAAGATAGAAGTTCTATGTTTCCATCTATAAATAGAGTATCAACTTTTACACTTCCCAGATTATGGAAAAGAACAACAATTATACTTTCTCTTTTTATTATTAATAGTTAGCAGTGAACCTGAACCAGACTATTCTGATTCAGACCTGCACCTAAACTTCCTCAAAGTCCATGAGTGTTTACAGAGCAGATTGTGGGGTCTTTGATAATTGTATTATTTTACATTCATCTGGGATTCTTCTCCATATGCACTCACATTTGCATTTTCTCTAAATCATACACTATTCTCCAGTGTGGTATCCAATGTAACCGAGTATACTGAGGGATTGGATTAATCATCCATTGCATTTCTTCAGTTCCCAACAAACATTTACCAGAGTAATACAACCTACAGTTTATGACAGCCTTCCAAGTTAGTGGAAAAACAACTGATTATTTTCATTCCCTCTTTTGTTTCCCAGTGGCCCCATTTTGAAATATATAAGGAAGTCATAATTGCCTTACTAAATATCTGCAATTCAATGTTTTCCCTCACAGCAGAGACATAGTAAAGTTGAAATAAAACTTATCATAACTGAGCTAAATTTGCTGAGATTTATTATTGAGTCAGCTAACCTAAAATAGTAGATATCTGAGACTCAGAGCTTGCTTACCTAAAACTGCTGGAGTTCCTGGTATTCCATAGCCCCCCATTGCTTAATTATGTCATATAACTGTACAAGCAGATCTTAAATTCAATGATGGGTAGATAATGAAATACCCAGTATACCATATTGCCAATTGCTTTCTCTCATTCTAATACCAAACCAACCCTTGAGTATATAGCCATCATATCCTTACATTTGTTCTCAAAATTACAACCTCTGCATATGGTATTTCTGAGATTGATAGAATCTTACTGTTATTGGTTTAGGGGTGCTCTTTGCAAGAATTATATTTTTCAGCATCAGAGCTAATGCTATTCCCTATCATCTCTATGCAAACAACTCACATATCTACTTCTCCACTCCCGTCTTTCTGTCCAAATTAAAATCTTATGTCTCTTTGTGGATCTCCAGCCACCAGATTAAGCTCAACATGTCCAAAACAGAGCTCTTAACTTTCCCACCAGCCTCCCTCCCCTTTTTCAGTGACTGTGGACCATCATCCTCCCTATCACTCTGGTGTGTAACCTGAATATTATCTTCTTTTCAGCCCTCTTTCTAGATACTCATATCAAAGACAAACATTTTTCCGTATCTTCCTGCATAACATCTGAGATCTGGCCTTTCCTCTACAGCCACACAGCTAAAACTCTTATCTAGTCACCATCATCTGACTTCTCGACTACTGCAACATCCTCTTCCCTGGTCTTGATAAATGCAATCTTGCCCCCACTTAAATCCATTCAAAATGCTGCTGAAAAGATTATTTTCCTGGCTTGTTTCTTTGATCGTATCACCTCTCCTTTTGCATCCCACCACTGATTCTCCGCTCCCTACCAGATCAAACTATTCACCTTCACTTACAAGGTTCTACAGAGGCTAGCCCCACCCTACCTACCATCTCTCCTATGCTATCAAAAATCAGCTCTCACTTTGCTCTGCAAATGATGCCAGTTTTCCTCACCCACTTGTTAAATTTTCAAGCACACAGTTCTATGCTTTCTCTCATGCTGTACCTCACACTTGGGCAAAACTCCCCATAAACATCTGCAAAGCCACCTAATTGTCCTCTTTCAAATTCCTCTGTAAAACGGTCTTCTGTTGTGATGCCTACAAAAATCCTGACAACTATTAAGCAGTTAGTGTGCTGAGCCCACTGTCTATCACTGAGTCGTCATTTCCTAGTGTTTCTTCATCTGTTTGTTGTCGCTCATCATAGACTGTAAGCTCCTCAAGGCAGAGACCACCTCTCTGATCTGTATTAGCACAGCACCTAGGGACACTGGTCTACGACTGCAATACAAATCATAATAATAAACTAGTTCAAAAGTACTTTGGGAAAGTCCAATTATTTGATCTAACTTCCTCTGAATAGCCCTGGGTTCATTCTGAATTTGCTGGCTCACATTTGCTTAATCAATACTGTGAAAATACTGAACGCA